GTGGGGTGGGGTGGGGTGCAGGTGTGGGGGGTGGTTGGAACGCACCCACTGTGTGGGGGGCACGGGTGGGGGTCTGAGGGTGGAGTTGGGTCACTACCTGCAACGCACCCGCCACCGCGCTTCCTTTTGTCTGCGCCAACGTTGGCGCTTGCCACCAAAACGATACGCCGACCAGGAGACAAAATGAATAAACGAAAACGAATTACTAGGAGACAAAAAGAGAAAGAAAAACGAAAAGCAGGAGACAAAAATAAAAAAGAAAAACGAAAAGCAGGAAACAAAACGCCAAAAACAAAACAAAAAAGAAAAGAAAAAAAAGGACGATCGCATCCATCCGCCGGCCCGCAGCAAAACTTCACCCCCCAAAAGAATATATAAAATCAAAAATAAAAAACAGAAAAAAAAAGGGTCTGGGCATGAAACGACACTTTCTTGCAATCCGACGGCGGGCGCGTTCTGATATTGACGCGCATCGACGCCCGCCGTCTACCCGGCCCCGTAGGCGCGCTCTCTTGTTTTGTGCCGCGCTGTGAACAATTTGGTATGTGCGCCACTCTGCACAACGCCCCTCCCTCGATCACCTTCATCCGCCGGCCCGAATCAAAACTTCGGGCCCATTCCGGCGCACAGCGGAACACGACCTCCCCCCACGCGGGCCCACCGCGCTCAAGGGGTAGGATATATATATATATATATATATATATATATGTATATATATATATATATATATATATATGGCCTATTGTTTTTGCCCGAAAAAATATCGGGGTTTCATGCCCACACTCGGCCGGAAGCGGTCGCCGCCGCGGTCTAGATCCCGACAGCGGGCGGTAAAATGGCCCGAGGTAATACAAAGGACCCTACCCCTGTACAACAAAACAAAGACAAAACGGAAAATGAATACACTTATCCCAGCACGAGTTGGACGAATGTGAAAATGTAAAAGAACCACACAACCCACAAGACGCAGGACCTCTTCAATTACAGAACTCTGAATTTGTACAGGCATGACCACGGAGCTGCATGTGTGCGGCTGCACAACAAAACGACGATCGCATTCAAGTAGAGACCTTCAACCTTTACGAAGGAAAACAACAACAAGCTACATAAGTAGAAGGCCAACATTTCCAGAAGTACGGATTCCGACAGACTTTTTCCCACAACAGGCACACAGAAACTGACCACATTACACATGGACACAAGAAGTGTGGTCTCGACAAACTTAAACCATCACTCTCTCCGAGAGGGAAAAACCATCATTCAACTGAGTTGGCTGGATCCATCGTTCGGGAGCGCGCACGTCGTGGTGTTCATCACTACTTACCAGCAGGTTTATCCCTTCGCTCCTTCGTCGGTGACGTTGGCGCGGGTAAGGTCAGCACGTCATGGGCTTGACTGCCGACCCTCGATTTTTTCGGGGACGTAACATGTTGCCGACCCTCGACTTCGCCCTCCCAGCCGCTTGCAAAGTTGGTGGCCAGTGTCAGAGAGGTGGGTGGTGAGAAAACTGCGGCAGAGGGCATGGAAGATGTGACGTTGCGGGGGTCGTCCACGACAATCGTTGCCGATCGTTCTGCGGACACCTGCTCGTCGCTGAGTATGCCATCGATGACTTCGATGATGTTGAACAACAAACTTGGTTCAGCCGGGCTCACAGCAATGGAAACCTCGTCGCACCGGTGTTGGAGATCGATTGCAGCCGTCACCGGTTGAATCTCATAATCTTCAGGGTCGGCTCAAAGGTCATTGACCACCTGCGTCTCCATCTCCATTGTCGTTGCATCGTCGTGGACATCACGGTTGCGATCCACTCTGTACAGCAGCCCAAACGAGTCTGACGACACGCAACAAAATCAACTTTTTTTCTCCCATTTCCTTTCCTTTCTCCCATTCTTCCCCTTCCTCCTCTTCTTCCCCTTCTTCCCCTTCTTCCGCTTCTTCCCCTTCTTCCGCTTCTTCCCCTTCTTCCCCTCTATCCCTCCCATGCAATTCACCCCGTTTTCCCGAAACTTTGTAGAATACCGTGGACCGCTCGTCGGAGCCCACGCTCATAGCTCCGCCCGCCGCCATGACAATCCTTGTTTCTGGATTCCTTTTAGAAGAAGTTCGGATCCGCGCGGACTTCAATGTATCAAGGTCAGCGGGTGATCCACTTGAGGTCGGTGCCTCGCTCGATGTTGTTTCGGATGCCAGCGGACTTCGCCGCCGAATCCTTACCGGACCTGGCGGTTGGTTGTCCAACAAGGTTCCCCTCCCCCTCCCCGCCACCACGTTCCGTTGTCTTGGCCTCCTGGTGAGGCGAAACTTGTCCCCTAGTGGTGGTCCCCTCT